TACTAGCATCATTGATAACAACCAATTTTTCAAAAGTTGGAAAGCCAAATTAAGATCCAACACATCTAAGTGAAATTGGACTTGTTCACTCCAGTCAGAAAAATTTAATCCATTAAACATTGAAATAGACGAAGAAAACGAATGTAGAGCTACAAGAACAAATACTGCAATTAACACATGCCTAACATTAACACTTTGAGTCATAAAAAATAAACATAAATACAAATTCAAATATAAATAATCATTCTATGCATACTAATGTTCTCTTTTGGGAGATCCACTAATACACAAACATAATTACGCTAATCATTTTATAACATTAATGATAATTAAAATATGCATCAACTAGAATCACCTAACACCTTTGGGTATATAAATAAAACTAATGATGCACACAAAATTATCCACATTTATGCTCATTAATTATAATAACAATTAATCAACCTTTGAGGTGATCCTAAAATGTCTTATAATAATGAACTTTAATTAACTAATAAATCAATTATACATAATTTTAGTGTTCATACTATGGGTAATTGAAATAAAATCATTAATAATTTGAAATCAAAATAACCTTAAAATTTTGGTCACTTTGTTGACTAACAAAATTCATTATGTTTAATTTCAAATAAATAACATCTTTAATTGCTATTAAAGATTCATATCATTTTTTATTAATTTTAAAAAATATGTACATTATTCACATAATAAAATATTATGTGTCATAAATAAAATTGAAACTCATAATTTTAATTTCTATTATAGGATTGATTTTCAATCCTAAAACCTTTATTTTATTGAAATTGTCAATTCAAAAATTTTATATGTAACTTATAGCGGAAATAATTCAATTAAATTTGCAAAACAAAATTTGCAATTAAGGCACTTATGGGTACATCCCATAATAGTGACAACTATTCATTTATACATACCACGTAAAGTAAAACTGGGCACATCCCGTGATAGTGCATTATCAACAGTCATTCACTACATGTATTATACGTGAACAAAATAATATGAAGATCTAACATAACTTCTAATTATTCACTACCAAAAATATATAATAATCATGCATAATAAAAAGGAACATGCAAATGTGTCATGGGAGCACAATCCATGATGCATACTAATAGTAGCAGTCAATAAAAACATAAAAATATCAACTTTATCATTTACCTTTCTTCCATCATAATTATAACATGAAGTGAAACCAATTTCATATATGATTCACTCTAAATTAATCACGTCATTTGTCTTTTCAATTAAAATTAGTTAGAAGGTCATTCAGGCATAGGGGCTATAAAATTGGTTTGAATCTAAAATTGATTACAACCTTAAAACATAAATTACGGAATAAATTAGGGTTCATCCTAATATGATAAAGAAATCCCTAAATTCATAATTAGAACTTATTTTAATTTGGGAAAAACATAATTTGGGAGAAAATATCATTAGAAAAAAATCATAAATCTAATAATCAGGCTTTGATACCACATATAAGTTAATTTGTAGTTTTCCTATGTTCTTGATTCATTTTAAAAAACTATTTTCCAGGATCTTTATATTATTGATTTTCATAATATAACATACATAAATCATAATAAGAAAACTAACATTGATTCATGCAGTGGCGGATCTTCTTGGGAGCTGAGGGGGGCCGTGGCCCCCCCAAAGTTTTATAACTCCCATGTAATTTATGATTTTGGCCCCCCAAACTTAATAAACATTTAATATATTTACTTGTATATTTACAATTCTATCCTCTCAGCCCTTCCTTAATTTTGTAAGTCCTATGTAATTTATGACTTTGTCCCCCTCAAACTTAATGATCATTTAATATATTTAAATATATATCTACAATTTTATCCTTTTACCCTTTCATCTTCTTTCTTCTTTTTATATTTATTTATTATTTATTAATAATATATTATTTGGCCCCCAAGATCAATGGTCAAGATCCGCACTTGGATTCATGGGAGTTTGTTCTTCAACTCCAACCTCATTTTTTCAATTTATCTTTTTGTCTTTCTTTCTCTTTTCACCCTTTATTGATGATCGAGAGAGAACCCCAATCATCTTTCATTAATCCACGTCCATAAGTTGGTTACTAAAATTTTTATTTTATTTTGTCTTTATTTTATTCTAACATCTCATGATAATTAATAGTATTTATATTTTATTAAATCACATTTGAGTTGATAGTTATATTTCACATTAATCACATAATAAAATTAATTAATTAAATTAATTCTAGGAGGCCTAACTAGTGAGTTATCTACAGGATGTGTGTTAAAGACATTAAAGTGTAGGAAGGGGCTATCAATCTAGATTTAAGGATGAGATAAAGAACTGCAAGAATGAGAGGGAACACTACAATGAAGCAGGAGCAACTGAGGAGTCGAAGTTCAATCAGTTGAAAGAAGGCCTCACTAATGTTCTTGTGAGTGAGGAGAGATTTTGGAAGCAGCAGGCAAAGGTTTTCTGGCTCAAACATGGAGACCAAAATACTTACTTCATTCATGTCACTACCACTTCCAGGAGAAAGAGGAACGTTGTTACTAAACTGGTGCGGGAGAATGGGATGGTAGCTTTCTCGTATGATAGTATAAAGGACACGGTGGAAGATTGTTTTCAAAATCTCTTCCTTTAGCACGACACCAAACAAACTGTGATTACCCAACATGTCAACCAATGTCTAACAAAGGAGGATAACCAGCTTCTGATTTCTCTAGAGAGGAATTCAGTAATGCCCTCTTTCAAATGTTTGGCCAGTGTGTGGCTCAGACATTCACACTGCTTGCTGCAAATGGCTTGACCAAGGTTCTTCCCTAACTCTATAAATGAGACCAATGTTGCTCTAGTTCCCACATGTGACCACCCTAATAGTAGCATGCCATTTCGCTATGCAATGTTATATACAAAATTCCCTCAAAGGCATTAACAAATAGAGTCTGGAAGGTCATAGCCAAGTGCACTTAAGAGCGATCAGCTTTTATAAAAAAACAAGTCTATCCAAGATAATGTCGATGGCAAACAAGTACACACCACATGAAATGTAAGTCTAAAGGGAAAAAAATGGGGAGACTGCTCTTAAAATCGAGAGCAAAGCCTATGATCGTGTCAGTTGGCAGTATCTAGAGGCTATGACGCTGAAACTCGAGTTAATGAAAGATGGGTGAATTGGGTTTGAGGAGATTCAGAGGATGATGAAATCCTTCCAGTGGGGGCCAACAAAGCTCAGAACAAAGGAATTCACTAGATGTCCTAGGAACAAGGTTGGAGACTCATTACCATCGCGAATGCTAAGGTGTCATGTCTTCAAAGCAAAATGAGTTATTGGATGTTGAGGTTGGTCACCATCCATCCTAATCATGGCGTAGTATCTATAGTGCCCCAGTTATGTTGAGGGAAGGTCGTATATGGAAGATTGGTGGTGGTATGCATATAAGTATTCGGAATCAATCATGGGTCACAGGTAATAAATAGGGAAGGTTAGTACTTAAAAAACCGATTCCAGACAGTGAAAATCTGAAGGCCAGTGACGTGTTACTACTAGTTTGCCAAAAATGTGGAAGGAGGACTTCATATTCATGCTAATTAATAACCACAAGGTAATCATATTTTAAATGCCCCCCTCTATATAATAGTGTCATCGAGGATGAAAGGTTATGAGCAAAGAAAGTAACGGTGCATACTCGGTTAAGAATGCCTACGAAGTTTGTATGCAGAACTTTATCACTGAGAGTAAAATTCAAATGAATGAGAATCGGTTTCCGATTTGGAACTTGCCCCTTTGCTCCGGCTTCCTTGCAAGGATATTGGGTCAGATTGAGAATGAAAGACGTAGAACGCCTATCGTTATGCTTTCAATGGCCAGAGCGACATTTGTTTTTTGGGTGTAAGAGGAGTAAGGAATGTTGACAAGAGCTGGGTTTATGGAACTTTATCTACCTTTTATTGATCCAGTTTTCCTCAGCTCGGTCCTTGAAGTCCCAGGTAAATGTTCCAGGCAGTAGAAAGTGAAAGAGCTGGGTTTATGGAACTAACATATACTAACTTATTTTCTTTCAAATATATTCGATTTGGAAAGTGAAAGAAAAAAAATATATAACTTCTCAGAGAAATTAAATAGGAAAGAAAGGTGAAAAAAAAAATTCTCAATTGATTGGATAAAATGAAAGGAAATTAAATACACATGTGTAAAAACAAAAAAACAAATACTTCTGATTAAAGGATGAAATATGACAATCTTTTTATGAGAAAATTATTATTAGACTAATAATTGTATATTTAAAAAATAGTGCAAGAACCCATTTAGTAATCTCGAGCACATGAAAGAATTAAATCAATTGGAAATAACAAAATGGATCAAGTGGAACTGAAATGAAGTTAAAATTTAGCTTATACCGAATTTATTTCTATAAGACCAAAGTCAAAATAAATCATAATAATTTAGATTATATTAAAGGCCATATTAATTTGTTGTTTATTTATAATTGTTATAAATAAAAATTTTATTCAATTTGATAAACTTATCTATTACTAAGGTACAATTTATACACTATTTATTAGATAATTATATCAAATTAAAAAAGAAAATTATTTTCTTCTTGTTATGTTAAAATAAAAATCTATTATCTGAATTTAATTTGATAAAAATTCATCTAATAATTTTTGCGCGTACAGATATATCTATATCTAATACATCCAAAAAGACATCTTCACTATCGAGTTAAATTTAATAGCCAGGAAGGAAATTATAAGTTAAATTCGCGCTCACAAAGCTCAGCGTCCCATGACTCATGCCGAAAGAGATCCAACTTTAAATCATAACATTAGAAAATACTTTTTCTTCTGTACATTGAATTCAAATTCAATCAAAATTCCCTACATAAGGATTTCTCAGTAAAGCATTGGGGTTAGGAAAGATGTAGAATAATCAAACATCACACAAATGTACACATCCTTAGGAAGGTCAATGAAGCAATAGCTTAAGTGGATCATCTCCTAAAGTGATCTCTCATAAAGAAGGGATATCTTAGAGCTTCCTTGGCTGTTAGTCTTTCACAGGGATCAAATCTTAGTAATCCCTGCAAGAGATTTATGAGATCGCCTGCTGAATGATCTACATGCTGCATTATAAGGTTCTGCATATATTTGTGGAGAAAAAAATGCCGAATAATATCAGTATAGATAATTTAAATTGCTTTATATAGTAAAATTAGAAAGTGAGAAAGTAAGCAAACCTGTAGCCTAGGAAGCTTCAATACAGCTTTGATACTCTCCCTCGAGGTTGCACCCTCAGGCCAGTCTAATCTACCCCTTCTAACATACTTTTCGGCATTTCGACTAAACATTCGCGCAACAAAAAAATACAATCAATAATTAAATTAGAGTTAAGATTAACTGAAAGTTCCCATGGTAAGTCACTTACTCGACTCTCTTCAACATGTGTTGTGGTAATGGACCAAGTACCCTTTCCATCATAGCAAGATGTTCTAAATTTTCATGAGTCTGAAATAAAGCTTCGCCCTATAAAAGAAATTCACACACATTACAGCATTGAAACCAAAAGATGCATAATAATTGTGATTTGTGTAAAATGTTTTGACATATCCAACCATACCGTGCATAACTCAACCAATATACATCCCACACTCCATATATCACATGGATAGCTCCAGCCAAGTCCTAAAACCCCAATGCAAAAATTAACTATTTAAAAGGCATATATAACCATTACTATAATTGCAAATTGACAACATCCAAATAAAAAATTAACCTAAAAAAATTCTTTCAACATTTCCAGAAGTGTACATACCAAGGATAACTTCAGGAGCTCTATAATGACGAGTTGAAACAATGTAAGTCTGATCTTCTCGCTCATAAGTGGTGCTGCCAAAATCAATAACCTTTATGGCGCTAGATTTTGGAACTCTCTTGAAATATGTACTTGGTGATCTAGATGAACTCTGTAAATGAAAAATACATTGGATTCCAATGATTGATCAACCAATCTAACCAACAAAAATGGGTACCAATAAAAAATATCACCATATTAAGGGCCAAAGGTTATTTTTACCATCAAGAAATTGTCATTACAAGCTACCAACTATCAAGAATACTTCCTACTAACACCAATTTCAACCAGAAACTGTTCTTTAAAGCTAGTATTACGTGGTGCACTTTAAAGGACAGTTACAAGTACAAAAAAGATTAATCCAATATCCCATGATAAATTAACATTTGCAAGGTACAGCAGACATCAAAGGTGCAACTATAGTGCTACAAGTTCCATGTACAAGGGGTAAATAAATGCAAAACAATTAAGAACCACACGCGTGAAAAAGGAAGAGTAGTACCTTGTAGTCGGGAACTTTGACATACTCTGGTGAAACTAGTAGAATGTTTTCAGGCTTCAGGTCAGTATGAATCATACGCAAATCATGCATGACTGCAAATCATAAAATAATAAGATTAGAGAAATAACTAAGTGACACAAAAAGCACAGTCTGAGTATATTAAAATTACAACATGTTTATCATTAGCAGTTAACTATGTAGCATAATAACCAATGCATAGTGAAATATATGGATAAAAAATAGCTCAAAAGGAAGTTAGTTCAAGTAAATACTACACACATGCTATACATTCCAATAGTTGTCTGCCAATCTCACGGACAAGATCAATGGGAAATGAGCGATAATTGTTTTTCCGAAGAAAATCGTATAAGCTTGGTCCAAGTTTCTCAAACACCTGTTAAAACCATTTAAATTCACCGTTGTCTTAACCCCCAAATTATTTGTAAATTGGGGAAATCATTCCATCACAAATTAAATACTTACAATACAGATATGATTACGATAGTCAAACCAGTTCCGTATTTGCACACAACTGCAAGGAATAAGCTCATTTAACCAATGCAATGGAATCAAGGATTTTACACTGTATTCTGCTTATACTAGCATATATGACAAATTAGATTAAATGTACTTACCGATTGCCTCCTTTATCATGTTTACCAAGCTGTTGCAACACCTCAATTTCTATCATGGCTGCTTCTCGATACTTTTTTATCCCACGGACAATTTTTATTGCAACCATTTCCTTTCTTTCTCTATCCCAGCATTCTAAGACCTGCCCAAAAGTTCCTTCACCCATTTTGCTATGGATCTTATCTGAAAACATAGTACAGGAAGATATCAACAATTCAAACCCAGCCAATGCAATCAACTGCAACATCGATTTGAACATATAATTTCCAAAATGATTTTTCACCTTATTACATAAAAAGTTATCAAGATAAAAATATTACAATTGATACAGGAATAATTGGCTAAGCTATTAAAAATAACATAAAATATGTCGCCATTAAAAGCTAAGGGTGTGCGCATGCATATGCATTTGAATGCTGAGTTTCACAAGCAAATTAATACAGCTCTAACAGAATAAACTGAGTAGATCATTATATATACATATGAATGTAAATTTCTTAATGATGGTAAAAGTGTAATTACAGCGAGAAGTTAAATTTTCTCCAAGCGCAAACATGTAATGTCCATCTTTGTCATCCTCTCGCCAAGGGGGAGAACCATTTTGAGCAACTGCCTTAACAAATAGGGAACAAGTGGTATGTTCTGAGGGACCCCTTGAAGGAGCATAGCTTGAAATAGCCCCAACATCTTGTCCACAAAACAATCCTACCTGAGCCTACACACAGCCATCCATTCATGCACCACTCAATAGTTAAAAAACAAAACTTTATCCCACTGTAATTAACTCAACCTACTGTCTCACCACCAACTCAGAATATAACAAAAAAAGTGAAAGTAATTAAATAAACAAGGTCGCTCCAGTACACGCAAAACTAATTACCCAGGGCACGAGAAAAGAAAAGTCGAGTATTGAAAAAATTTCAATAATTCACATTAGCATAAAACAGACAAGCAATAAAATTTTCCCAATTCCACTGATGTAAGGTTTTAAATATTAGATCTTCAATTACATATCCTCTGTTAACACATGATAATTTCGAAAATTGTTCTATATTACATGAAAACGAATGATCTGAAGATGTAAATCACAAAATATAAGTTTCACAAAATCTCGGCACATATGTGAACACAATCATTGATACCAAAATGTGAAAAGGATATGAAGCTGCTTCTAAAAGCGATAATATATATTTCAATTCATCAATCCCAGATCTATGCACGAATAAATCATACACGAAATCAATTTACCACGGAGACCACAGAACACCGCAAAACATCAGTTAATCACAAAAAAATAAAATCGATGGTTCAAAATAACCAATATCAACATGATTACCGATATACAGTTCCGTATATTGTGTAAAAGAGAAATACCTATCAGATCCATAAAATAGAACAGAAAAAGTCATCACACAAACCCAGTGAGAAAAAAAAAATACCCGCCGCAAACATACCGAATCTGAACATATTCCACCAGATCTACAGGAAGAAAAGATAAAAGCAAGAGAAAAAATAAAGGGAATTATCAGATCTGGTATTTTAGGATGAAGAAGTTACCTTAGGGACCTCAGGAATGTCCCAGCCCAATCTGGCCCTCTTTCTCGGGCGCCGATCCATGTGAGAGTGAGGAAATTCGAAGACGCGTTCCATCTCCATGATTCGAAAAACTACGAAAACTTCAACAACAAAGATTAAGATGAAAGAGAAAATATGCTTTTGTGATGATAGAGCCTCAGCTTCTGAAACCCTAATCTCGATGTTAGCCAAATAATAACGACCGTGAAGGCGGTTCAGATGAAATCTTACCATCCACGTGTCCACACAATGGAGCATCTTGATTGAAGGGCTGGATTCTGCTATCAAATGTAACTATGGTTGAACCAGGGTCAGCATTTTAACCGTGATTTAGTCAGGTTTGGTGGAAATGTGGAATGGAATAAATTATTGCAAATGCTTACGTATGTTTTTTTTAATAAAACTAAATACTTCTTAAAGCATATAATTTAATAAATGTAGTAATTTATTGAAAATTTAAAAAAAAATCATAGATTCAGTCAACAAGACTGGTTAGTTTAGTACCAATATTTATTATTAGGTTATTTTATTTGATATTTAGTTTATAACATATTTTTAAATTCCAGTTAATCATGTTTTTTATTTATATAATATATATCCGTTTTTAAAGTCCTTATAAAAATCATTAGTATACAATATCTTTTTCGATGAAGTTTTTTTTTATCTTTTTTTTATTTAAATTTGATTTTTGTTTGCATTGTCGTTTACTCTATTTTTTAAATGACAGAAAAAATCCATTTGATTCGTTCTCTCTTCTCACATAAGATTTTATATTTTTTGAGTACACAATATTGAAAATATGTTTGTTTAATTTATTTATTTTTCCTGCGATTCACACCAACTCTACATATTAAAAAAAAACAATTATACCATACTGAAAACAATCTTACTCAAACCAATAATAACCTGAACTTTTAATACTTTATAATTTATAAATATTAATTTCATGAATAAAAAAATAAAAAAATTTAAATAAAGTAAAGTTTAATCTATACAAAATCTATTAAAATGATTCATGCCCAGAATATTATAATTAGATTATAAAACTTATACAAATAACAAATATTTTGTATTCGATTCATCAAAAATTTTAATTAATGTTTATCATTTTGTATTAGATGACTATCTCTAAATTTTCTGACGTGTCTATCAGGATTTAGAGTTGGTTTTCTAGAATTTGAAAATCTAATCGTATAAGTCTTTTTAGAAGTTTTTGGTTTTTGTTTTTCAGAATAAGAATTCTGATTGTAGTTTTTATTATACCTAGGTTTACTTCTAGGAATAGGTCTTCTATAAGGCTTATTTTGATTATACTGTTGAGGAGTATAAATTTGTTGCAAATTCCAGCATCGGAATTTTTTAAATGCTTTTGTATAGCAATATGTGTACATATATCTTTTATCACTTTCATGATGTGTTGTATACGTATAAAGAGGTTGTTCAACATGGGAGTAACCTCATCATTTTTCCAGGATTCTTGGATCTTTTGGCCAAGTTTTCCTGGTAGTTTGAGAAACATCTTTTCTCCAATGCTTAAATCATGGAAACATCCAGCTATGGATGCGTACATGAGATAATCTTGTAAAAATTCTTTTATCTTTCCAAAGTATGTTATGGAAAGTATTTCCAAATCACCCAGATAAATCTGTTGTCTGAGTGTGTTCCCATCATTAGCAGACTAGGAAGTAAGCAATTTTTGTAACAAAGAACAAAAATTGTATATGTTGGGACCTGATTCGATCACAAACATATTTAAGTCAGCTGGATAATTTTTATATCACCTAAATAGGTTTCAGCTTTAGCAATCATTTATTGAGAAGAGTGAACATCTTTCTCATGATATATGTCATAATCACGGATTACAGCTGCAGTCCATTACTCAATGTATGTTGGCAATAGTTGAGGATCTATTCCTCCTATGTTTAGAAGAAGATTAGACATTTGGAAATTTGGCTCTATTGGAAGCCTTGAACACAACATCTTCCGATTTTACCAGAAGGTCACCCTCAACAATTCAAATGTCTGAGGAACTGTCCCGTTTCAAGGGAACAAAAGGTACTATTTGATGCTCTTCATGGAGCTTGTAGTACAATAGCAAAGTTTAATGCTATAAATGCATTAAATTATTATTTTGCAAAAATGTTGCCCACTGTTTTTAAAAAACCCAAGAAAGAGGCCTACTGCCTTTTTACTGGAGACAAGCGTGGCATCTACCTATCATATCCCTCTCTTTTGAAGGCGATAGGTAATGATAAACACAACAAATTTCAAGGATTTGGTAACCTTGAAGAAGCAGTACAAGCAATGGTCAGCTATGTTGGAGGTGATAACAGTATGCTAGACCATCCAGAAGTTGGTAATTTCATTTTTTAAAAACCAACAAAACAAAATAATTTTTCAATTTATGATTCCATTAAACTTAGACAACGCTTGGCTTTTGCCAAGAAAATGGAACAAAAATTGAAAAACTTTTTTTCTTTACAGAAAAATGATTTTCAAAAGCACATTTTCGGTTTGGAAATGGAAAATAAAAATTTAAAAACCGAAATCTTAAAACTCCATAAAAAGATGGACTATGATTTCGAAACCATTGATTATTGAACTTTTACAAATAAAATGACCTATGTTGGGTCATTCAAAAGAAAATTTATGGGACAACTCTCATGTCCTATCTAAGAAAAAATCTACGAATATGCTTTTGTTGCCTTGTTAGTAGAACTTGGAGCACTACAAAACTGGTTATTCCAATTACCAGTAGATTCTACACTTCGCCAATACCTAATGATAGTCCAATATCAAGATGATTTGACACCCTCATCTTCCGATCAATACAATATCAGAATAAACCCTTATTTGGTGGAATGCAGTCCTGCTTGGATAAGTAAACAATTAACTGAAGTAGATACTAACTCTAACATATGAGACATTTTAATGTCACAAAAAATTTTCCATGCCCGATAATTTTATAGTTACAAATCAAATAATGTTTTAAAAAATAATAATTACAACACTTAACACTTATATTTTCGGTAATGAAAATAATATTATTAAAATAACAGCAATAACCTTCCCAACATTAAATTTCTAAGACTCTACAAATTTGTTTGCCAATGTAATTTTCCATTTTCAATTACTAAATTAAAGTAGAAAGGTTTTAAAGTTGTGTTTCTATTATTGTGATATAAATTTAATCCTTTTAATAACTATTTATAATTTTTAACTATGTTCTTTTTACAGACATAATAATGATGACTTATATGATAATCACTTTACTATTTTAAAATTCTTTAATTGAGTTTTAAACAAATATAAAAGAAAAGAAATTGTCAACTAGATGAATGTCACCCGTCATTACTTCGTTTATTTTATTCTATTGACATAGTAGTTATTATTTTCTGTTTATTTATTTCATAAAACTAAATAATTACGACTTGTAAAAACTCAAGTGTGTCACTTTAAAAAAAAATTATAAACGGTTACCAATTTTAAAAAATTATAATCATAATTTAAAATAAATAAATAAATAAATATGTTTAAATAGAAATATATTATCTTAAAAGAAAGTTATACAAACCAATTTCCAAGTTAATTAATCCATAAAACTAAATAATTATAACTAGTGCAAAATATGTTTACATTTTCCTAAAAAATTTAAAATTGATTATCAAAATAAAAAAAAATTGTAAAAATCATTATATAGTATTAATGTTAAAAAATACTTATTGAAATCTAAAAAATATAAATAAAATCTAAAATAGAAAGAATTAAAAAAAAACTACAATAAATGAATTTAATATTTAAATATTCAAAATAGTTATATATATATATATATATATATATATATATTTTTTTTTTCTTTGGATGGGTCAGGTTGTTAAGAGAGTACGAGGTTGGAAAGATAATAGGATGTATATAAATTACCTTTGTTTTGACTTTTAAGTGATATGAAACTTATAAGCGTATTAGAACATATATTTCATATAGGAACGAGAGTGTCTCGACCTCATATCTAGTATAATATCATCGTTATGATCAATTTTTATGTGTCAAGGTATTGTTTGTTTGAGAACTATAGTCTATTACGATTTTATTCTTAAAAGCGAGCGCATAGGTGGATTATGAGAAGAGAGTGCATATAAACTATCATTTGTATCAACTCCTGAATGATATAGGACTTATAAGCACGTCCGAACATAGCCACCTAGTCGAAAACTAAAGGATGGGATTGGAGCAAGACTCTGCTAAATATTCTTACAAAACTCATGGAGGTCTGCAAGAGGGTGTGAGATTGGATTGGACGATAGATTAAATTCTGAGTTATGACTTCAAAATAATTGAAAGTAACTTCCTTTAAAAAAAGTAAAGGTCTATCACACTTTGACATGTACATTAATTTTTTTTATAAGAAGGTAGTATATTTGAGAATAAATTATAAGATAAGATTTTCTTGTGACCAAATCTCCTTACATAGTATCCATATGATAATAATGACCAAAAAGATAATAACTTATATAATAAATTATACAAAAGAGATAATAAATTATACAAAATAATAACATGTAAAAGATAATTAATAAGATAATGTATAATAAGACAAATAAATAAAGATATTTTATGGATTTTAGTTGAACAGGTACATATAAATCTTGTCTCCAATTTTATTAATCTTTTATGACTTTATCTCCAATTATTATTGATACTAAAGATTATGTATTTACATCGGACACTATCAATCCAATATTATTTATAAAAAAACTATCATATTTATAATAAATTAATATTAACATTATTTTTTTCTCATGTATTACTCCTTATATATAAATAGTTATACTTAATTTTATAATTCTAAATTATTATTATTCATTAAATATCTTTTTATTTAATATATTTATATTAAAATTTGATTTTAAAAAACTAATTATGTTTTATATAAAATAATTATAGTAATAATATTATTATTATAAAAATTACTCTAATTATATATATATATATATATATATATATATATGATTTTTTTTCACTGTTATATTTTAATTATTAATTATCAATTTTTTAAAATATAATTATTTAATTAAAATAAAATTTAATATATAGATAATAAAACCCATAAAATATAATATAACAACATTTAATAAAAATAAATTATAAATAAAATAATAATATTAAGTATTATTATGAATAATGTACAATATTTAAAAATACATATAAATGAAGAAAATTAAGAAAAATCAAATTGATGAAAAAATTAAGAAAATGTAAAGAAAAAAAGTGAGAGAAAGATAAAATGTAAAGATTAAGTAAATGAAAAATGAAGAATGTAAAATAAAAATAATAATTGTATATATAATATGATAACACATCGATAGAAAAAAATTATATATGCAATTTCGATTTGTATATTTTAATACGAACTAGCAGTGATATGTAAATGAAACCTTAAGGTGAGGGGATCGTAATCCTGTAATTAACGTTTTGGCAATTAAATTTTTGACAAACAAAAAAATTGACAAAGAATGAGTCTTTAAAGTGTTTTTTATATTGGCGTAAATTTGTACATACACTATTATAATTCATATTAAACTTTTTTTTTCCCACTTAATATGCTAAAGCAATAGCGTACCAATCCAAGCTAAATTACTTCTAATAAAAAGGATGTATTTAATAATTTAAAAAAGCCATATTAGAAGTCTTATTTTTTATTAAATCATTCAGCTAATCAATTTATTACTATGCTCAATTATTAATGTTGGTTATTCTTATGACTAATAACTATATCTACAAACACTGTAACAACAAACTCATTTTCTGATAATCAAATCACCTCACCCCAGTTGTTTCAATGCCATCATGTCTCCCCTTCAACCTTGCAATGTGCGTTTCAATGTCACAGCAACACTACTAGGGAGACGCAGACAGAACGAAACTCGAAACTAATTCCCCTGGTATGGAAACTTAAATTTATGCAGAGGTCAGCAGTGAGTCATTCCCATTTTTCACAATAACATTAGTATATTTTTCTACTGTACATTGAATTCAGATTCATTCTAAATTCCCTAAATAAGGATTATTCGTTCACCATAGCATTGGAGCGAGGAAGGCAGCAGAATAACCATCCCATCACACAGATGCGAGTTCATTTGTACACACATATTCTTGGAAGGTCAGTGCAGTGTCTTAAAAAGAGACTTGTCTCCTGAAGTGATCTCTCATAAAGAAGGAATGTCTAAGAGCTTCCTTGGCTGTAAGTCTTTCTGAAGGGTCAAATCTAAGCAACCCCTGCAAGAGATGTATGAGATCGCCAGCTGAATGATCTACGTGCTGCATTATAAGGTTCTGCATATATTTATGGAGAAAATTTTCTGATTAATGTCAATATAAATAATTCAAATTGTTTACATTGTAAATAAAAAAGTGAAAAATTAACCTGTAGCCTAGGAAGCTTCATTACGGCTTTGAAACTCTCCCTTGAGGTCGCACTCTCAGGCCAGTGTAATCTACCCCTTCTAACATATTTCTCAGCATGTCGGCTAAACAAGTGCACAACAAAATACAAACTCAATAATCAAATTTTAATTATAAATCAATTACAGGTTCCAATGGAAAGTCACTTACTCGACTCTCTTCAACATGTGCGCTGGTAATGGACCAAGTACCCTTTCCATCATCGCAAGGTGTTCTAAATTTTCATGAGTCTGAAACAAAGCTTCGCCCTGTGAAAGAAATTCACAAATTATAGAACAGAAACTAAAGATGGATAGGTGTGACTGGTGTAAAGGTTTTGAATGAGCCAAACATACCGTGCATAACTCAACCAATATACATCCCGCACTCCAAATATCACATGGATACCTCCAGCCAAGTCCTACAATACCATTTTCAAAAATAAACTATTTAGCAGACATGAAGCCATCATCAAGGTCAAGTGTCAACATGCAAACACACAGTAAAGGAAGACAATCTTTCCACAATATTTACAGTATGTACATATATACCAAGGATAACTTCAGGAGCTCTATAATGACGAGTTGATACAATGTAATTCTGATCTTCTCGCTCATAAGTGGTGCTTCCAAAATCAATAACCTTTATAGAACTTGATTTGGGAACCCTCTTGAAATAGGAACCCGGAGATCTAGATGAGCTCTGTTAATAAAACAATGGATGTTAATGATTGGTCGACCAATCTAAACAAGAAAAAGGTACTTCCATAGTTGATGTCAAGGTCCAACTCTTATGTTTACAACAAAAAGAAAGAACATACTGTCATTACAAATTACTAACTATTTCGAATAATTCCCAATACCACCTAAACTGCTCTTTTATAGCAGTATCACGTACTAATATACAAGGTACAACAAAAAGAAAGAACATACTGTCATTAACTATTTCAAATAATTCCCAATACCACCTAAACTGATCTTTTATAGCAGTGTCACGTACTAATATACAAGGTACAAGCATATGCATGAAATGCACCTGTATAGTGCAAACCTACTATGCATGGGTACAATGAGTATCAAATGACGATAAGTTTATTACAAAAAAAAAGTAGGATATATAAGATACGTAATTAAAAATGTAAAAAATTCATAAAACATACTAACTATAAAGCTACAATCATGCAGATCCAAATTTCAAATCACATTTCTTAGATATTGTGAAAATAAAAAATATAATATAATTATATAGCAATAAGACTATCATTTTCATTAATTTCTTAAAATATTTCATAGGAACAATTTTTTCTTTGGTTTATGAAAAGAAATACTTATATGTTTCTATTTTATAGATAGATATATGTTTCTCAACTTTTATTGAATATAAATTATTTAAAAGCTTTGAATGTACACCTCAGATAACTATCTAAAAGTATTCTTTGTAAAACAAATAAAAGTATTGATGCTTCATAGGTTTGCATACCTCATAGATACGAGAGGTGCAAACCATTCTGGGAATAAAAGGTGCAGCATGTCCCAAACAATAAGGAATCATGCGTCTGTGAAAGGAAAGTACCTTGTAGTCGGGAACTTTGACATACTCTGGTGACACTAGTAGAATGTTTTCAGGCTTCAGGTCAGTGTGAATCATTCGCAAATCATGCATGACTGCAAATTCATAAAATAACTATTAGAGAGTTATCCGTGAGACATAAACAACACAGTCCAGAAGTATATTAAATCTACAACATGTATTGCCATAACCAGTTAAAGATACAATATGATAGCATGTACAAAGTGAAAGATATGGAAGAAATAGCTCAAAAGGAAGCTAGTTCAAGTAAATACTACACACATGCTATACATTCCAATAGTTGTCTGCCAATCTCACGGACAAGATCAATGGGAAATGAGCGATAATTGTTTTTCCGAAGAAAATCGTATAAGCTTGGTCCAAGTTTCTCAAACACCTGTTAAAACCATTTAAATTCACCGTCGTCTTAACCCCCAAAGTATTTGTAAATTGGGGAAATCATTCCATCACAAATTAAATACTTACAATACAGATATGATTACGATAGTCAAACCAGTTCCGTATTTGCACACAACTGCAAGGAATAAACTCATTTAACCAATGCACTGGAATCAAGGATTTTACACTGTAGTCTGCTTTTACTAGCATATATGACAAATTAGATTTAATGTACTTACCGATTGCCTCCTTTATCATGTTTACCAAGCTGTTGCAACACCTCAATTTCTATCATGGCTGCTTCTCGATACTTCTTTATTCCACGGACAATTTTTATTGCAACAATTTCCCTCCTTTCTCTGTCCCAACATTCTACTACCTTCCCAAAAGTTCCTTCACCCAATTTGTTATGGATCTTATCTGCAGACAATAGTAAAGAAGTATCAACAGTGGGAGTCTGGGGAAATCTAAAGTTTTACCCAAAATTTTTGTGACATAAAATGTTCCTTCATCCATTTGAACATATAATTCCCAAAATGTTTTTCCACCTTGGACTATAAAAAGTTGTCAAGATAAAAACAAAAAACATTTCAGGAACATGATCAGTCAAGGTATTAGACATAAAAGTAAAAATAAGTCCACATTAAAAGTTATGAGTGTGAGGATGCACATATATTTGAATGTTAATTTTTTCAAGCAAATTATTACAGCTACAAAAAATGTAAACTATTATTTAACCATGATATATATGAATGTAAGCTTCTTAATGATGGTAAAAGTGTAATTACAGCGAGAAGTTAAATTATCTCCAAGCGCAAACATGTAATGTCCATCTTTGTCATCGTCTCGCCAAGAGGGAGAACCATTTTGAGCAACTGCCTTAACAAATAGAGAACTAGTGGTATGTTCTGAGGGACCACTTGAAGGAGCATAGCTGGAAATAGTCCCAACATCTTGTCCACAAAACAATCCTACCTGAGCCTACACACAGTCATCCATTCATGTACCACTTAATGGTTAAAAAACAAAACTTCAGCCCACTGTTATTAACTCAATCAATGCTCTCACCACCACCTCGGTATTAAAAAAAAACAATCAATTTAGAATCGAAACAAAATGAGATAAGCAATTCATTATCCAAATTCCATTTACATTCGGTTTCGATCATTATATCTTAAATAAATATACTTTTTAATAAATAAACATATCAAAAATTTTAATATATTATTTGAAAATGAACGATCCGATGTTATATATCATAAAATGTAATTTGATGACAAATTATAGATACATAAGTAAACACTAACAATTATTCACGTCAACATAAGTCATATAGCTAGAACAAATAGAATAAAAGCACCTAGATCAACTAGTTTCACGACACACAGTTCCGAAAATGTTAATTAAAATGGTAAAACAAAACGGATCCATCAAACAAACTGAAAATATCGTCCAAATAGATCCTACGAGTCAAAATAAAGCTTTACCAACTCAAACATACTTAATCAACACATATCCCACCAGATCTACAGGCAGAAAAGATAAAAGCAGGATGAAAGAAAAAGAATGATCAGATCTGAGATTTTAGGATGAAAAAATTACCTTAGGAGCCTCAGGGATGTCCCAGCCCAACCGCGCTCTCTTTCTTGGGCGTTGATCCATGTGAGTGTGAGGAAATTCGAAGACACGTTCCATCTCCATTGTTCAGAGATCTAAGAAACCTTCAAAAGAAGGGAAAACTAACATGTAATAGAAATATATGTTTTAGTGAAGATAGAGAACCTCATCTTCAGGAACCCTAATATTGATGTTAGCCTAAAAATAACGTAGGTTGAGATGAAATCTCACCGTCCACGTGTCGAATACATTGGGCCATCTTCGTTAAAGGGCTGGATTTGTCAACTATACAATATAGTTAAATCTGGAGCAGCCTTTTAACCATGGTACACTATGGTTTGCTGGAGTTTTTTTTTTTCTCATAAAATCTAATCCAACTAAGAAACAATCTGGACAAGGATTATTTTCATCAAAATCCAACTCAAACATGTCAGGATCAAAATCTAGCTGTACTGTGACTAACTTAAATTGAATAAAAAAATAAAAATTGCAAATGCTGACGTATATATATATATAGTTTTTTTTCTCTTGTATTTAATTGATTGAATTTAAAATAATAATAATAATAATAATGTAATTTTTAAAAAATTATTTGCAGTGATATTTTTGTCGTTTATTGTCATACCAATCGTTATGAAATTAGACACCTGTCATTTTACTCTTTATGAACTATACCATCACTAATATCAACAAGAAAAAAATATATATTATGAGTGTAATATAAAAACTACAAATATGTTAAACTTGTATTATTAATGAAATAGTTAAATTGAAATTATTAAATAAAAATTGGAAAAACAATAATTAAACCTCCTTATTTTAAGATTGGATGTCTATTGAGAGATACGTAATATTGTTTTGAATAACAAAAAGTATGATCCAAAATCTCTATTTATAAAATACTTTTGTAGAAACAAAATTCAAGCATGATTTTTTTATTATTATAAGAAATTATACCATTAAAGAATATAAAATATTAATATCGCGTTATTTAAAACATAATTTTTGTTGAACATTCGAGGACTTGATGTTGTACTTGATGTACATGAAGATTGTTGATTTTGATGATGATTCAAGAACACAAAGACTTAGATTGTTGAAGACTTGTTTAGTATTGTAATAACTCTGTTTTAATTAGATTGAGCTCGTAATATTAGAGTTTGAGATAGCTAGGTACATAGTCTGCACCTTAGAAGCTTCAAAAAGCTCAAATTTATCAACCAGGCTCGGCTTTAATCCATTAAATAGGGAAATAATCGATTAAAACGAGTGAGAAAAACCATTTTCTGTTTACGCTCACTTGGTTTAATCGATTAACACACTTGTTAATCGATTAACGAGCTCGTTAATCGATTAATGACTCTTTTAATCGATTAAAACGAGAGTTTTGGGGTTCTGTTGATTTTGACTTTGTAATAATCGATTAACACTTTATTTAATCGATTATTTCAGTCAGATTTTGATTTTCAACTTCAAATCAACCCTATTTTCGAAAATCCTATTTCCAAGAATCCTAATTCCGAAATTCCCAATTCCCAAACCCTAATTTCTCTACTTAAGCTTCTCTATGACACTCAGAAATCAGGAACAACATTTTTCATACAAAAGTTAAGTGTTATGAGTGCCAGAGAACTGTTTGTTGCAAGAAAAAGGGGCTTTTGGAACCTGATGTGGGCTAGAAGCGATAAGAATCACTAAGTGGAGTTCTTAGTGGATTGTGTGTTGTGCCGTCTCTAGGAAAAACTGTTCATCATCTCTTGTGGATTTCAAGAGAGGTGTTTTCTTATCTTTATCTTTTCAATTGTAATTTGTTTGTAACAACTTGATTATAGTGACAGCGTTAATCCTCTGTTTGAGTGATTAGCAACTGGACGTAGGGTCTTTTGATCCGAACCAGTATAAATCTCCGGTGTAAGATTCTCTTCTCTTCTCTATTTACATTTACACAGTTTTTAATCGGTAAAATTTGGGGAAAATTTTGAAAACCTAATTTTTGTTAAGAAACCAATTCACCCCCCCTCTTGGTTTTTGTCCGACCACGCGAACATTCCGCTGCGCGATTCTAACAAGTGGTATCAGAGCTTGCTTTGATAGTCATTCAAACTTTATGAAAATGGCCGGACAAAATCAAACTTTTGTCGAAGGTGCGTCTATCAACAGACCCCCACTTTTTGTGGGTCAAAATTATCCTTTCTGGAAAGTAAGAATGCAAATCTTTTTAGAGTCTGTTGATAGAGACATTTGGGACGTTATTTTAAATGGTCCATATGTTCCTAAAGTTACTGAGAACGATGTTGACGTTCCCAAACCTTTTTCTAGATGGACAACAGAAGAAAATAGAAAAACACAATTTGACGTTAGGGCTAGAAATATAATTTCATCTGCTTTAACCCTTGATGAGTTTTACAGAATATCCATTTGTAAGAGTGCTCAAGAGATGTATGAAAAACTAAGAGTAACTTATGAAGGAATCGATGATAGTGACTCAATTTCGGAATCAAGTGACTCAAAAATAGAAGCTAACATTTGCTTATTGGCAAATGACATCATTTCTTCCGACTTTGAGGTAAGTGATTCCGACTCATCTTCAAGTGATGATGAAAATAATTATGATGAATTGCAAAATGCTTATAATGAATTGTTTAGTGCTTTCAAGAATTTAAAAAACGAATATAAAGTGGTAAAGAAGAATTTAAGTAGATCCGAAAAGGAAATAGACTCCTTAAAAATGAAAATCACATGTTTAGAAGAAAATGAATTATTAGAAACGAAAAGTGTATGCTTAGATGAGGATAATGATAAGAACTTAGCATGTGCAACTTGTAAAGAGCATGGATATGACATAGATATTCTTAATCATTTGCTAAACAAAGCCGAAAAGAAAATAGATGATCTTAAGAAGCATGAAATGGTGTATGCTCAAAATAGTGTAAATCAACAAGTTCCTTTGAAAAAGTCTAAAAGGAAAAATAAAAGAGTATGGGTAAAAAAAGGAACTAGAGCATGTTTTGTAAGAAATGCATCTTATTCTAAAGCTACATCAAAAGCATGTTTTTATTGTATGAAACATGGTCATACTTCAAATAGATGTAAAATCAAACATTTTGGTGTTCCTAAAGGAAAATACATTTGGGTTCCTATTGTTAAATAATTTGTTTGTCTCTAACCCCAAGGACCCAAAAGTTATGGGGACCTAAGTTTACTATGTTCTTGTTTTGTAGGAAACTTCCAAATCAAAGAAGTCTATGTGGTATCTTGATAGTGGATGCTCAAAACATATGACCGGTGATAAAACTAAATTTGTGAGTTTCAAAGTTAAGGAACAAGGATATGTAACTTATGGGGACAAAAACAAAGGAAAAATCCTTGGAATTGGAAACATAGGTGGTGCAAACACTTTGGAGATCAAGGATGTGCTACTTGTTGATGGACTTAAGCATAATCTCCTTAGCATAAGTCAACTATGTGACAAAGGATTTAAGGTAATTTTTGAAAGTAAATTTTGCACCATACATTTGATAGATTCCGAAAATGTAGAATTAAAAGGCATTAGGCATAACAACATATATTTGATTGATTTGGATTGTTTACATGAGTCTAGCATAACATGTTTAGTTGCTAAGGAAGAGAACCCTTGGTTATGGCATAAGAGAGCGGCTCATATAAATATGCATCATTTGAACAAATTGATTTCAAAGGACTTAGTTATTGGTTTGCCTAAGTTAAAATTTGAAAAAGATAGGTTATGTGATGCATGTCAAAAAGGTAAACAAGTAAAATCATCATTTAAATCAAAGAATGTTATTTCCAGAATGCAGTCATTCTTCACTCTTTCTGGTGTACGGCATGAGGAAATAATTCGCCGTATATCTGATGTAGATGATAAAGTGTGTCGTTTAGAAAATAGATTTGATGCACACTTTCATAGTGATGATAGTGAAGAATTTTAAATTTGTAATTTTCTTTCTTATATTGTAATGAATGCATATTGAAATAAAATGTGGTGTTCTTATGATTGCTTTGATTGAGGGGAGTTTTTATCTAAGTTATGCATATTTTGAGGGGGAGCTCTTATGATTGTTATAGAAGAATTCTTTTTTATTCTAATCAAAATAGGGGGAGAAAATATTTAAAGCTTAATATGATTGTTTTTAAATTTTATTTGGTATGTTTAATGTGTTTGTTAGTATGACAGATAAAATAGGTTATTACAAGGCTTTAAAAAGATAATTTTGATCATCATCAAAAAGGGGGAGATTGTTGAACATTCAAGGACTTGATGTTGCACTTGATGGACATGAAGATTGTTGATTTTGATGATGATTCAAGAACACAAAGACTTAAAGTGTTGAAGATTTGTTTTGTATTGTAATAACTCTGTTTTAATTAGATTGAGTCTGTAATATTAGAGTTTGAGATAGCCGGTACATAGTCTGCACCTTAGAAGCTTCAAAAAGCTCAAATTTATCAACCAGGCTCGGCTTTAATCAATTATTTGGTGAATTAATCGATTAAAACAGTGAGAAAAACTATTTTCTGTATCTGTTCACTGTTTTTATTTATTAACACCCCTGTTAATCGATTAACAGGTCTGTTAATCGATTAACAGGTCTTTTAATCGATTAAAACAGAGAGTTTTGGGGTTCTGTTGATTTTGGCTCTGTAATAATCGATTAATACTTCATTTAATCGATTATTTCAGTCAGATTTTGATTTTTAACTTGAAATCAATCCTATTTTCGAAAACCCTATTTCCAAGAACCCTAATTCCGAAATTCCCAATTCCCAAACCCTAATTTCTCTACTTAAGCTTCTTTATGGCACTCAGAAATTTTTGAACAACCTTTTTCATACAAAAGTTAAGTGTTGTAGTACCAGAGAACTGTTTGTTGCAAGAAAAAGGGGCTTTTGGAACCTGGTGTGGGCTAGAAGCGATAAGAATCACTAAGTGGAGTTCTTAGTGGATTGTGTGTTGTGCCGTCTCTAGGGAAAGCTGTTCATCATCTCTTGTGGATTTCAAGAGAGGTGTTTTCTTATCTTTATCTTTTCAATTGTAATTTGTTTGTAACAACTTGATTATAGTG